TGGATTTTGATATACAACTGACATATAGTACAGTTCGTGCAGTGAAAAAGCATTCCCTTGTTATATTTTGATTATTTTGATAGAAAAATTCATATTAGACTTGATTTTTTTCCAATAATACTTAAAATGTATGTCAACCATTGATATAAAAATCGTCGTGTACGCACAGGTATTGTCATGTAGCCAATTATGATAGTAGTTGCTTAGATTTTACTCCCGAATAAATTTTAACTAAATCTTAATATAAGACTTAAAATATTTAATTGTCATTTTTTCTGAATATAATTTTGAAATAAGCAAACAAATAATTAAAGAATAAATAATAAGAGACTTTAAATCATTAAAAAGTGAAAATTTTCAAGTTTTCTTATTATTATTTTCTTAAAAAAAAATATTATGAGTTTTAAATGTTTAATTTATAATTATATTACGCTTGAAAAGTTAAAAAGTAAAAATTGTGTAGGAATATTTTTAGGTATATAGTAAATGCATGTATAATACTTACTTTCTTAATTTATTGTAATTTTTTAATTAAACAAACTCTTGAAATAAACAAAAAAAAAAAAGAAAAAAAATTTATGAAAATTATTAAAACTAATTATACCTATGCATAAACAGTTAAAATGTACATAACTGTAAATAGAGCGGATATAAAGAAAGTAATTATTAAGCATTTCTAAAAAACAACAAGAAAACAAACGGTGTTTGTTTGTTTAATTATTATAATAACGTTCATATAATTTAATTATGTTATTGTTATACTTTAATATTTTAATATAAAAAAAAAAACAATTTTTACATTCTTTTTATATTTTGTTATAAAGTAGTTATAAAGTAAAATAATATTATAATGGATTAAGAAAGCGTATTGTAATCTGTGCGAAATTTTTGGTACATATACAAATATACAAACTTACATAGGCACTTATATAGTTCTTAAGCTGACATATATAAATTGTGTTGTCTTTTAACTTTTTAATATTAAAAATTATTCCAATTATTTAAATTTAGGCTTTCACATTTTAAAATTTTAAATTTTCTTTTATAGTGTAAATTTAATCTATAACAATGAAAATCTTATATTTACCACAACAAATCGTATAACATAATATAGTTTTAGCATTTAAGTGATTATTTTTTTTTCTGTAAAAATACTTTTCTCTTTTCAAAAAAAAAGATAAATTTTTTACTATTAAAACTGTAAAATTTTTTTCAGATTGTCAGCTTTAGTATTAAAGATTTTCTTATTTTAATTTACTTTCGAATATTAATCCGGGTAAACCGGAATGAACCTGTTATTTTCGCTATATATTAGTCAATTTTCCCGATCTTCGTTCTTAGCATTCTTTGGTTCGTTGAATTCCTTTCAAGTTATCTGTTATTGTCAATCGAAATTTGTAAATTTTTCCGTTATATTCTCGAATAACTGAAAGCTTTTCCAAATTTCTATACAGGCAAAATTGTAACAATAAATACTATGCCATAAAAAAATATAATTATTTGTTAAAAATCAGTTGTTGAAGAGAGTATTGTTACTTTACAAATCATTGGTTTAGCCCAGCTTTAATTCTGTAAAAATCGGTTGTACATACATATATAAAAATCATCTCTTTATAAGCGATAATTTTCAATTGTAGTAAAAATATTTGATCATTTTGTTTTTCAAATTCTTAAAAATTAATTACTTATTTATTTTTTTTTCGTACAAAAATTAAAGTAGTATAATTTAAAAAAAAAATTATTTCGTATGCCTGTTGTACGTATATTTTTCTTTTATATTTTTTTAAATAATTCATAATTTATGTAATATTATAAACGATTGTACTTATAAATTCATTTCCTCCAACTAAATATAATAAATTTAAAGCTCATTTATTATTCTATGTGCAAATTACAAATGAAGGAAATTCATATTGCATCACAGTAAAAACAAAATTAATGTAATCATAGGTTTGTATGTACATAGAAAGATAATAATAAAGAATGACCAATTTATAAAAACAAAAAAAAAAAAAAAAAACGCAAAATAATGTGTAAAAAAAACTCCTTTAAGTCATAAATAGTTAAAGGTCTAACAAGTTAGAATTAACTTCATTCATTTATCAAAACAGCACATTTATTTGAAATTGTGGGGCCAGTCATCATTGTTTTTATCATTCACATTTTTTTGAATCAACCATATATTTTTGGTTTCATTATTAAAATTGAACTGTCAAAAATAGTTGTCATTTTTGTAAACCTATCATTTTTATAAAGAGAACAAATTCTCTGTCAAAAAAAAAATGCTGGGAGGTAGTTTTTATCTTTCATTCATTTTTCCTTTTATTCACTATTGTGTGATAATTATGACAAGGGCCTATTTAATTTTTTACATCGAATTTTAAAAGTTTTATATTAAATGATATTTAAAGTCATAGATTAATAAAATAATTAATCTCGATATTCTTTTATATTTTGATTGACAACAAAAGCTTCTGTCAACAAGTTGTCACTTCCATATTGTTATATTGTGTTATGAAAGTAACAGAAATAAACAAATACATTATAATAAAATCACAATAATAAAATATTCAATAAAAAACAGTTTTAACATTTACTATTTAAGTAATAACAATTCTTTTATTTGCATTAATGACAATATGTACTAGCTACTAGCATAACCGAATATATTACATAAAATTGAATGCATGCATAGAATAAAAACCCCAAATTATATTTACACTTATATATTACATAGCCATATTATTGTATATCAAATTCACTTTGCGATTCATTTGTGATTCATTTAAACTTTTTTCTACAAAATAATTTTTCTTGTACAATTTCATGTACACTTTCTTGTGTACACTTGTAATATGTACACTTTCTTGACCATAATTGAATGTTATTTCATTTAAATTTGTAATTTCCGTTCAAAAATACAAAATAAATCACACAATCATAACAATAATTTTTAGTAAATATTTTCTTGCAAGTATCATGCATGTTTTCTAAGATTTGTAACAATAAATTTTATAATAGAGTATAAGTGAAATTAGAAAATTAAGAAAAGAAAAGCTTAAATTTTAATGAACTCATCACTTAATATATAAAATTTAACGAGAGTAATATGTTGTTTTTGGTATGGAGATGATAAAAGCATCCCACTTATAAAGTATGTATTAAATTGGTTAATTTGTTTGTTTTTTTTTTTTTAATTTTAATTTTAGTATAGGTTCATTAAATTTTAAGTATTTTTATGAGTTTGCTCCTACTTGTTTATTATGTATGTATGACGAATTACTTAAATGGATTTAATAGAACAAAATTAACATAAACAATAATAATAAACATGCCTTAAATATATTTATAATGTATGAGTACATAACCTTAAAAATATAATTAAAAATTTTATTGGCAAATAAAAAAAAGGGAAATTAGAATATCTACTTCTGGTGCCGGACTGGAAAATTAACAAAATTTTCTATTCTAAAATTTCTATTTAATTTTAAAATGGCAATTATTTCAATGCAATCATATAAGTATGTTTTTTATATCAATGTTATTCAAGAATTTTGTAAGTGTGAACTGCAGTCGAATGAATAAGGTAAAAAATTCTGTCAATATAAGCAGCATTATTTGTTCGAATATCCAAAATTAAAAACCAATTTTAAGAAAAATTCAAATATATTTCATTAAAATAATGAAACGAGACTACATTTTTAATTAGAAATGTGTAAATATTAAAATTTTACACAAAATTACTACGATATTGCGAACAAAACTATTTACGATATTGCGTTGACATTATAGGAAATACCAAAAATGTTGTCCCAATATTTTTGTAGTTTATTATACATTGTAGAAATACCGTATTTATGCTTTTAATGAAGACAGCTGTGCTCTTTGATGATGTGAAATTCTTTAGAATGTACCTTAAATATAACATTTTCACTGTTAAGAGTATTCTAAAATATTATTCTTGTTATTCACACCAAAATGGACTAAAATATTCATTATTTTCAATTTTTATTGTAGATATATTTATAGAGGAATATTTTACTCTCAAATTACTTTAATTTCCAATAAATTACCCACTAACTTTCTAAGATTTTAATTCTTTCGACCTGGCTGATACAGATATGTACCAGTAAAGTCCAGTAAAATTCGCAAGCCGGGTTGAAAGGGTTAATTAGTCCCAATAATCGTAATTTCCCTCAACATCGCATAATTACTCACAACATAGCGTAGTTACCCTTAAATTTAAATCTATATTTAATGAGTAAATTTTCAAGTCTTTGTCTTATTATACTTATTTAGTGTAAGTGAATTTTTCTGAAAAGCATAAAATTTTTAAATTAATAAAAAAGAAAATAATTTATTTTTTAATTTTTTTTTCAAATGTAATTTTATTTAATTATAATATTTTGGTGTTTTCTTGTTTTTTTTTTTTCATCTATGTAAGTTTAAATTAAATTTTTAAATTATTTTTTATTTTCTTAAATATTTTCTAATACAATATAATAATTTGGCAGTGTTTTTATTCTTTAATTTTTTTTTTTAATTTTTTTAATATAATTGTATTTTTTATTTTTAGAAATTACATACATTCAATACTATATACTTAATATATAAATTAATACAAATATATTATAATTTATAAATTAAAAATCTTTGTGCACGTTTTACAATCTTCTAATTATTTTTATTAAATTATTACAATTTTTTCATATTAACTAATTTTAATTATAAATATTAAATATATTATTTTATATATGTATATAATAGTTATGTAATTTAACACATTTTTATATAAAGGAAATAAAAGCTAATAGAAACATGATTTTCTTTCTTTAATAATAATAATTTTAAATATTTTAATATTAAATGTAATTATATAATTAGTGAGAATGAAATATTTTAAAATATTCATTTTTTAATATTTACAACATTTTCTTGTGTTTTTTTTTTGTGTTTTAGTGTGGGTTTCTTGCAAAAAATAAAAAAACAAATAGAATTTTTTTTGTTTTTTTTTTCGATTGCATAAAATATTTTCTTTGGTTTAAACTGGCATACACCAAATAAAAATTGTTATATTTTTGAAATTCCTTAATAATAGTCTTCTAAAGGAAAATTTTAATATTTATCAATTGTAATTATTCAATAATTTTTTTTAGAATTATTTTAGTCCTTGTCACATTTTTAAAATGGTTAACTCTTCAATATGCCCTTTTCAAATCTATAATCCAGTTTTTCGTATTTGTGACCGTTTCCGAAATATATGGAATTTCATATTATTCTATGTCCGGCTGTAATTCGGTTTTGATAGCATTTATGTTAAATGTCAAAATGCCAACAACTGACGTATAAATGACGTATACGAGTATGGAATAAAATAATTCTCAGCGGACTATTATTTTATATTATTTTTTCAGTATTTGGAAAAAAAAAATAATTATATAAATTTTTGGTATTTTATTGCATTATATACACAAAAAAAAAGAATACATTATTTATTTTATTTACTAAAATACAAAATTTAAATTAATTTTTAAAATTAAATTTTTTGATTTTAAATTTTTTGAATTATTTTTGAATAATTTAAAATATTGTGACACAATATTATACAATTATTATATATTACAGATTTTTTTTTTGCAATTCATATACAATAATATTGTTATATAAATGAATTATATATATTTGTGACATTCATTTTGCAAACGCTATTGAATACTTTGCACAAATAATTGAAGTGCACAAATAATTGAAGCAATGCCTATAAAACAGTGTTGTTGCTTTGTAAAAAAAATAATGCATTTGCGCTTATACAATTTGCAATTTCTGATCATAATTTTTGAATTTTTATTAGACGTCATCAATTATTCACATATAATTTGTTTTTGACAATAAATGGGATGACTTGAATGAATAAAATTGTCAAATAATTTGTTAGTTAAAGATATTGCAAAACATAATATGACATAATCAAAAATTTTTGGTTTGCAACTTGAATTATGTGTGCCATTGTTAATTTTTTATGTTATTTGCAAAATCAATGTCAACATTTTGTCATTTTAAATTTTGACTTTTTTTTCTGGTAAACAAAAGATACTATATACAAATTAAATTAAATTACAAATTTAATTTTATTACATAATTTTTTATTAAATATTTATTTTCTAAATATTGAAAAATCTGATTTGAAATTTTAAAAATTATAAAATTTAAAATAATAAATATTTTTAATTTATTAAGCAAAAACAAAAAAAAAACCAATTCATTCCAATTTAGTTTTTTCAATAAACAATCATCAATCAATCAGTCTTTGGTAATATCACAACAATTTGGTTCACAAATTTGGGAACGTTTCTATAAAAATTTTCGGCTTTTAATATTCTTACAACTTATTCACTTTTCATATTTCTTTTCTGTTTTGCATACATACGAGTATGTGAATTTCATAATTATAAATATTAAATATTTCAAAATAATTTAAATAAATTATTAAAAAAAAAATAAGGAAAACAAAAATAAATATTTAAATTATTTGTGGATAATTTTACTATTTAAATTAAATTAAATTAAAAAAAAAATTAATTATTTTATTAATAAAGAAAAAAGTAAATACTGAAATTTAAATTTTTTTTCTCTCTTATATTTTAGGAACTACCCAAATCATGAAACAAATATTGTTTTATTACTTGTCCTTTCTCTTCTAATATTTGTGGTGTCATTGTATTCATAATATTAAATGTTATTGTAAATATTATAAATGCCATATAAATAAATAATGCTGTCCACCATAATAAAATTTTATAATATTTATAAAAATTTTTATTATTAATATTATCATTTTCTCTATTATTATTATTATTATTAATTAATAAATCATTAATATTATTATTATGAAAATTTTTTAATATTAATAAACCAATTGTTAAACCAGCTAATATACCAGATAAATGTGCAATATATGATATTGGTGGTGATGGATTAATAACACTTATTGTACTTGTTCTTTCATCATTACCAATATGTACATTAATAATAACATCAACTTTTTGAAAATAACGTGTATATATTGCAAAACCAATATCACATATACCAAATATAAATATTGATATTAATTTTATTGTTACATATTTAATATTTTTATAATTTAATAATATATTTGCTAAATGTGAACCTAATAACGCATAAACACCACCACTAGCACCAACTAAATATACTTTTGAATCAACAACACTTGTACCAAGTGAACCAGCAAATACACCAGCCAAATATATACAACATATTCGTATTGAACCATGTATTAATTCTAATGGTATACCAATTATTAATTGTACAATAACATTAAAACTTAAATGAAACCAATTAGCATGTAATACCATATATGAAAAAAAACGCCATACTTCTTGTCTTCTATCTGGACGATATACTAATACAGAATCACTTGGTACTGGTATACCATCATTACTACTATTATAATCATCTTGATATTTCATTGCCCATGATTCATATAAAAATACTGCTATCTGAAAATATATAATAAACAAAAAAAATATTATGAATATAAATTGGAATTAAATTTAAATTTTATTAAATTTTATTAATTTTACTAAAAATAATTTTGGATTGGTATTAGTAATTCTCATTTTAATTTGAAATCATATTTAATTTTTTAAAATATAATCGAGCCATTGAGTAATTTTATATAAAATTGTTCTATTATTGTCGAGAATATTTCAATCTCGATTAAATATCATAATAATAACAATAATAGTCAAAGATTAACTCATATGGAGTACATAAATTCTTTCATCGTTAGTAATTGTATTAAACAAATTTAAGTGTAGACTATATAAAAGATTCTAAGTACATAATACATACTCGTATTGTTTTCTTTTGAATTCGATAATATTAAAAGCGTGCCATACAATTCTTGAATTAGATTATAAATCATTTCAGACTTATTACATTTACAAAGTTAATATATAAATTTAATTAAATGGAAACATTAAAAAAAATTGAAAAAAAAAAATATTTCTATAGCTATTTGTGTTGTTTTTTTAACATGAATATGTGGGCATTCTAGAATTATACAGGCGCACATATTATAGTGTAATAAATAATTAATAATATAAAATCGAAAATATTCAATAATGTACTGATAAAATATGTGTGTATGCATTTAGCAGACAATAAAGGAATTTTTTTAAAGGAGCTATTTTTATAAAATTCATTATAAAAAACTATATAACAATTTTTGTTTTTTTTTGTAATATATGAGTACTTATACAAAAAGAAAAAGAATCAGAAGAAAATATAGGAGAGCAAAAAAAATTCATTTTTTATTGTGGAATTAATTTTTATTTTTGTTTGCCATTAAGTTGATGATAAATATTTCATTTTTATTTTTTTAAAATAAAAATATTAAGAATAAAATAAATAAATAATTTTTATTCTTATAAATGCAATTCAATGTGGCCATCTCATTAGTCTTATGGACGTTCCAACTATAAAATCAAATATTAAAGATCCTAACTAAATAAATAAATTCCAGTCTTAAACTCTTAATTTTGCAAATTGTGTTTAATTTTACGTATTTTATTTCTTGGAATCATTTTAATTTAATTCTAGGAGGAATAACATATTTAAATTGTGAATATCACATGATATGCCCCTAAAAGTATGCAAAATTTTTGTAATAATTAAAAAACAAATTTCTCAAAATTTTATTTTTTGGCTTGTTATGAATTTAATTTTCATTGAAAGTACTCAGTCAGAGTTGTAAAATTGGTAGTGAAATGAGAGATCTCAATTGAGAGGAAGTTACAATTCTGAGTTGAAAATGTATTGCAAAAAGGAGTAACAAGAACCTGCAAATATATTTTCACTCAACGCTCTCTATAAATTTTTAATAAAATTAATAGGGTCTCATTAAATTTCATTCACATTAAATATAAAAGGGTCTGTACTGTATAAATCATAACTACAATAGTATATATGTATATAAAAAAATGATATATGAAAAAATACATACCTCGATTATTGAAACAAGTATCACAAATAAAGGTGGTGGGATGAATTTATAATGATGATCTATTGCATTATATTTTTTGATTTGTTGCTGTTGTTCTTGTTGTTGTTGTTTTTTATCGTTATAAATTTCTTTACAATCAATTATTCGATCAATTGTTATTATTTCTGATTTTATTCCTGATGTAGATGATGTTGGCAATGATATTGTTGTTGATGATGATGATGATGATGATGATGGTAATTCTATTAATTTTGATGGTAATATTGATGATGTTGATGATGATATTGATGATGGTAATTGTATTGATGCTCCTGTAATCACTGATATTAATTCATTTTTTAATGGTATAATTAATTTTCTTGTAAATAATGAACATGGTAAATATGATGATTTTAATGTTAATATTGATGAAGATGATACAGATGTAGCTTGTGATGATGATAATGATTCAGATGATACAGATGATGGAGATGATTTTAAAAATGTTGGTATTATTGATGATAATGATAATAATGATTTTTTTTTAATTTGATTTGATTCACCTTTTAATTTAATATCATTTTCTATTTTTATTGTTTTTGTTATTACTTCAGATGATAATGATGATAATGTTGGAATGTCAATGACAACATCAATAATATTGGCTTGTGCCGATCCTGTTTTTTCTATTCTTTCATTTTGATTTTTTATTAATTTTTTTTCATTATCATCAATATTTTGTGCTAAAATTTTTTCATTTTCATTTGATTTTTTATTGTTGTGTTGTTCATTATGTTGTTGCTCTGGTTGCTGTTGTTCGTCATGTTCTTGTTGTTGTTGTTGATTTTCATTAATAGATTTTGTTTGTGTAATAAATGATTGTGATTGAATTGGAATTGTAATTGAATTTGATGATATTGATGTTGCTGTTTGTGTTGTTGCTATTGTTGTTGTTATTGGTGATGATGGTAATGAAATACGTACATCTGTTAATTCTTCAGGAAACATTCTTAAATGTTTTTTTTTTGTTTTGGTTTATGTTGTATTGTTTTTTGTATCTTGATAATGATTATCTTAATAAATATTTTATTGTAGATAATTTTTGGATGTTGATGAAGAAATAGATGATTTTTGTTGTAATGCTGTTGTTGATATTTGTTGTATAACAGTTTTTTTTTGTTTTAATTTTCTCAAATATTTTTAATTTTTTTGTTGCTTTTTCTTTGTTTTTTTGTAATCAGCTATGATGTTGGCATAACAATAATTGTTATAACAGTAGTTATTATTAATGGTAGTAATAAACTCGATTGAATCGAATAAATCAATAAAAATTCGATGTTTAATATGAAATTTTCGATTACAAATTTTTGTATATATAAGAAATTTTTCTTAAACAAAGAAATTTATAATAAAAACAAAAGTAAAAAAAATAAGCAGCAAAAAACAAAAATTGCGTTTCCTTTTTTTATTTTTTGTCCTTGAATTTTGTTTATTCTTCTTTCTTCTTCTTTTTCAGTTCGATCAGAAATTGTATTCGAATCGAAAAGTTGAAGATAAAAATCAAGATGAAATCGACATTTAATTTAAAAAATTTCTGATTTTATTTCTTTTTTTTTCGATTCTTTCTTTCTTGATTCCGTCTGCTTATTTGATCAATAAATTTTTTATTTATGTTTTTTTTTTTTTGAGATTTACTTTTTCTTTGTTTTCTTGACTAGTTGCAATGCACATACAATTCTATATAGTTAATAAATGAATTTTTATAATTACTTATATAATTTTATTGTATGACATTTAATTCTATTGGTATCATTGGTATCATATATGTTTTCCAAATGCTTATTCATACTATGTTTGAATGGATTTTTTTTTTTAAAATAATGTTCTTCGTTATATTTCGTTATAGTTCGTTGTACAAAATATTTTTTTGTAATAAAATTCCTTAGTTTTTTTTTTCCTTATTAATTTTATTCTAGTTTTTTTACTAATTTTTGTTTCAATTTTCATTCATGTAACATAAGAATTTTTTGTATAGATTTATTTGTATAACAATAAATTCCGAAAAAATTGATATATGAAGTATATAATAGAATATATGTAGGATAAAGAACAAATTCAAGTAAATGTATAGGTATAGAACAAGCCCCAATTTTAATTCATATATAATTGGTGTGTATACTTTGCTTTTAATAAAATTTTATTCTTTTATTTAAAAAAATGTCCTTAGTCGTCGTCGTTTCTTTAATTTTATTAATTCTTTATACATTATATATGTATATATATAGTTTTGATATATATGACGAAATATATTTTAACTTTAGTTTTGTGCGTATGTTGGAATTTTTCGCTGTTTTCTGCACCTTTATTAAATTTTTTTTTTTTTTTTTTTTTTGGTTGCAAAATCTCTTTCTGTTTTCTTTCTGCCTTTTTATTTATTATAAAATATCCAGAATATATTGTATCGGGAATAAATACAATGCGAAATCCAAAAAGAATTTTATGTTATATATGTGAGTATATGTGTTTGATTTGTGGAATGTTGGGCAACGAAAATATTTGAAAACGTTTGTGTATATTATATTTTATTGTGCACAGTATATACGTAATATATAAAACTTGAAAATCACAGTATAATAAAAATTGTATAAGAATGTAAGAATATTACCAATATTTTATATATATTTTGTATATATATGTATATATATTAAAAATTGTAAGAATCTTGCTAACTGACTGTTATAATGTTCACCTTTCTTCACTTTTTTTTATATATCTCTTGTTGTATAATAATATATTTTTATCTTCTTCTTTCCTACTCTCTTTTTTTTTTAAATTTTCTATTTCTCATTCATATACTCTCTTTTTCTATATTTGTTATTTTTGTTATTTTTGATTTTAATGTTATTCGCAATTCCAGTTGTTTTAATCTCAATGGTATATATATATATATATAGAAATTTTTTTTAAAGTTGTTCTGTTACTTGGTTTGTTCGTTGGTTAAGTGTTATGTTTCCTTTGGAGATATTTCAAAATTTTAAACCGAAAAAATATGAATGCCAAAGTACGTGTATTAGGTTCTTTTTTATTTTTTTTTACTTTGTTATTAAGTTTAGCCGTGTTATTATTATAATAGTAACAAGAAAAAACAATAATGCTAAAGTTTTAAGTTATAAAATCTACAATATATAAAATTTTGCAGTCAGTTTTACATTATAAATCCAGCGAAATTTTGTTGTTGTTATATTCTTCTTGTTATTCGTATTTAATGTGAAATTCTTAAAATAGCATCCAGAAATGGAAATCGTCTCTCAAAAAATCGTCTGGAATTCGTTTTTTTTTTGTTTGCAAATTTTTGTTTTCGTTTTTCTTAAATTTTTTTTCTTTTACCATGAAATATTTCTGCATAAGCGCCAACTGTGTCAAATATTTTTGTTATAATATGTGCTATATATGGTATATATGGTAAGTATGTTAAGTTAATTTTTTAATACGTGTGTTGTTGATATTATGGTGTGCTACCACATCAAGATGGTTTTTTTTATTATTGTTGTTATTTTAATGCCAGTTTAATATTTTGTATATGTTCGGTTTCTTCTATCATTACTTATATAATTGATATTTATGTATAATCTGAAAATAGAAAAAAAAGTTAGTAGATCACAAAAAATTATTTTTGAAGTATGTGTTTTGTGTTTAGGTAAGTTATTTTATTTATTTATTTATGTATAAATACAATTTTCTTTAAATTTTTGGATTTTTAAAAATATTATTTTATATATAGGTTTAGATTATTCCAAAATATGAATATTAATTGTGAACTTTAATTTTAATTTTTTGTTGTTTTTTGCAAAAAAAAATAAATTTTCGGAGTTTTTTCGGAGTTCTTATTTTCGGAGTAATTATATTTAAAATATTTTAAAAATATTTGTTTTTAAAATGAATCAGTAAAGTTGTCTTGTTTTTTTCCTTAAATTTAAAATTTGACTCCGATTGAGATAACGGCTCTCTGATAATATAAATTCCAGGTTTTTAAAAATTTTGTTCTAAAACACACAGTTTTTTAAAAACTTTATTTCTGACACTGCCTTTATTACATACAGTAATTAAAAAGTCTTGGAATTCCGAATTCGAATTCTTGAATCCTTCTCCGATTTTGCCTATCATTTCTTGTTTCCAACAGTTCCGACTCCGAGTCGGATTCTTACTCTTAGATTCCGATTTCGACTCCGATTCTTCAACTCCGAATCTAATTTTGAATGAGATTTCGAGGCCCCGATTTGTATAACTCATCTCCCAGTTTATAAAATAAGAGTCACCTAGCATATTCAAAAAATTTTAATATCAGAAACATAATTTCTCATTTTTTTCTATGAGTTTTATCCCTCTCCATCCCACCGTTTAATAATCTTAATTTTGTATTAGGTGCATATATTAACTGCAAGTCTTTTTTAAAATCATTCTTATCTATTTTCTTTTACATATATCAATAAAAATGGTCACCATATTTTTTGCAATACCACATACTAATATGCATATCATTGTCGTGCACGCATTATAAATATTGTATAAAGAGAAATACACAATTTAATATACAAAAATATTATGTTTTTTTTTTTTGTCTTAAATAAAATTTATATATTATAGTAGGAGGTGTAAGCTATAATAGGTAAAAGTGGGTTATTTTGATTTTGTATCCATTACACATTATACAAACACATATGAGGTTTACATATAAATAAACATTCTTTTATATTTTATTATGCATTTTATTGCATATATAGATTCTTCGTTTTTCTATTTGTTTTTCTTCATTTTTATGAGTGCTATACCTATGTACATAACATACAAATTATAATATGTGTATAATAGGCACATGTGTATGTGTTTAGCTACCACACATCCAGAGAATTCACAGACGACGTTCATGCAATTTTTATTTTTTTCAATTTATTTATGGATAGGTGATTTTTTACTAATAATTCCATTTTCGTTATTCATTTCTTTCACAAAAAAAAAAAAAAAACTCTATGAAAATATTTACGATTTGAAAAAATCTTACTATTTTTATTGTATGGAATGCGAATTTATTTTTTATTTTCTTGCGTTTTCATAAGAATTGAAAAATTTACCTAATGATTTTCTAGTTTATAGAGCAGTGACGTAACTTTTATTTAATATATGAGGTATAAATATTTCTAATTTTATATATTTTACTGTTATAGTTCTGATTGATTAAAGGAAATTATAAAAAAATAACAAAGAATAAAAAATTATTTTGATTGATTTAAAATTTATTTATATGGTTACCTCATAAGGTTCGTATAGTGCTTGCATACCATTTAATATGATATTAGATTTGTTTATTTGAGAGATCAAACAGTTTTTGCAACATTGTATAAGTATTTCAATCAAACACTTTGCAACATTGTATTGTAATTGTGGGTTATGTTTTTTAAAAAAAAAAGTGCCCATATGGTGGTGTTTACTGAATTTTGAATTTATTTGATAACGCATTTTATAAAAATTTTTTGTAATTTTTAAAAAATTTTGCGTACATGTTTGAATTTCATATACAATAGTTTACAAAAATAAAGAACAATTGAATGGAAAAAATGGAAAATTAATTCTCGTGACTAAATTAAATTAATTTATAAAATGAAAAACAAAAAAAAATTATGAATTTTTCGGAGTTGATATTCCTGAAAATTTACTGATTTTCTTCGGATTACACAAAATTATTATAATTTCTAAATGATTAGCAACGTAATTTTGAATGTAATTATGTAAAATGTAAATAATTTTTAATTGTATTAAATTTCTTTTAACAAAATTCCTTTAAAAAAAGTAATAATTATTAAAGACAGTTGCGGATTTACCATACATGCAAAGTAATCATTTGTAATGGGCGCCAGAAAACAGGGGCACAATTTATATGCGCAATGTGTAATGTTTATTGGATACTATGCATACTATTCATTTCTTTGAAAACAGAGAGGCATTTTTTGGAAACCGTGTTGGGCATCAAACAAATCAGAGCCGGACCTGATAGCTTTGAACTTTTTATATAAAAAATGAAAGTATATAGTTTGCGTTTTGTAAACTAATAAGCAATTTATTTAAAAAAAATAAAATGTAAAAAATCCGAAAATTATTGCGTGTGCCATATTGTAGACACTTTACTTATATATATGAATGAAAATTAATCAACAAATCCTTATTATTATTATTTTGTTTAAGTATAAATATTAAGGCCAACTTCATCAACGTTAATAATATACCAACACATAGCAATTATATGCTATAAAAACCTGTGAAAATAAGGTACTTTTGAATCAAAAAAAAAAAAAAAATTGGTGGATTTTTTTAATTCTTCATTTTATATATTAAGTACTTACATATATAAAGAATCCAAATTTAAAGAATAATCTATAGAAATGAACAATTTTTCTTTGTAAGGTTTCACATCATATTTTTATTATAAAATAGTGTATATTAGCCTACGCTTTTTTGAGTATAATCGGTTTATTCAAGCTTTTTGTTTATGTATGTATACTATATGTATGCATTTTATATAATTACAGCATTTAAATGCAATTTCTGTATATATATATATAATAAATTTTATAGATTTTATAGATTTTGAAATGTTAATAAACTTATAATAAGATTAATCAGAACAGAATGTAATAAACTATACTTATACACAAAGAATTTTAAAATATACTTAATTTTTTATATAATTATTTTTAAAAAAATTACAATTTTATTTGAGATTTTCAATAAATTATTCGATATTTAATACTGTGATTCCGCAATTTTTTATATGCAACATATTTGCGTTGTTAGAAATTTGAAATAATGCAATATATGGGTAAAAATTGAATATTGATTGAGTAATATTTGAGAGAACAGCTCATTTTATGCATTATATAGTACTCATAATGCTAAAACGATCTACTCTCTCTCTTATAGGACTC